ACTCCCCTCATCCACTTCGTTTGACAAGAACGTAGAATCACAGACTCAAAAGCATAAAAAAGCTTACAACAGGAAGAGACTTTGGAACCAATGCTGTCCATTATTTTGTAGGTAATAAAACTAAGACCCAGAGATTCACTTCACTTGACAACCCTGGGGCAAAGAAGTACCCAGAGCCCTCCGGTCATGACTTACCATGAGGTCTGTACCCCTGAGTGAAGAGTGGGGTACAGAACGAATCCACAGGTGGAGCACTTTGAGGGTCACTGACAAACTCCCCAAAGTCTACTGCTGTATTTACAATGTCTAGCAATTCCCATCTATGAAATCACCTCCTTTGTTTCATGCAAAGCTCACTTTAAACTTTGACTCCTCTAAAAATGTTCATTAGAAAAACATAAGGTTAATGTAATTTTTTAAGGTAAAATTACACATAAGTCAAACACATTACTAATAATCTGGATTTTTACACTTTTAGGCAAACAAAAGTTAACATCCTCTGCATCTGGAATCCTACATCAAACTCCCATGGAGTAAATTTAACAAATTTAAAGTGTTTAGAAGGTAGTCACATGAAGTGTACAGCACATTGTGATTGGCCAATGCTTTTGCAATCAGTCCAACATTTGCCTCTAAGTGTTGGGCAACCACAAACTCCATTTTTCTTGGAAGACAGTTCAGTGGTTCTCCAACTCAATTTAGTCTGCTGCTGGCTGCTATTTGACCATGTGGTCAAAACTTTCGCTTTCATTCACCTCATACGGAAATCCAGCTGATATCTTAACATTTCCTCTAATAGGAAAAGTAACTGACATGTGATGATGTATCAGTAATGGAGCATGAAGATGACCCTACTTTACATTCTTAAATGGTTCCCCAGAGCCTATAGGATGAAGTCCAGACTCCTTTAACTGGCTATCATGAATCTTCAGAATCTGAATCTCATTTATCTTTCTAGTACCATTTCTCAATCCTCCCCCTTCTTACTGTCTGGCCCAGGCACGCTAAACTATTCTTAGCTCTCTGGAAAAGTCAAATGCTCTAGATATACTCTCTTGCCATTTACCTGGCTAGTTCCTACTCACACCGCAAAGGTCCATTTAGTGGTCTGCATCCATTTGGAGCCCCATCATAATGAAATCAAGCATGCCCTAAATGCAGAAACAGTCAATCTACTTACAGCGAGACACGTCTCACATCAACATTTGGCTTTCTTCACTAATCTCTTGGTAAAATAGTTTATACTCATGGCCTCCACTTTTTTTATCATCCAATAATTTCTAAACCCTTTGTAAACTTGCCTCCCCTAGCATTACTCAACTTTTTTGAAGGCTACTAGTGCCCTCATAATCATTTATTTCATTGGCAATAGTTTTTGCAAATACTAAGCCTCCTTAAATTCTCTAAAGCTATCAAGACGCTAGTCACTCAGTTACATTTTCCCTTTCTTTTCCTTCTGTGACATACCGTTATTCTGGGTCTCTTATTCTGATTGCTCCTGCACTGACTCCACTTCTTTTTCTTCCTTTCTTTTCTTTCCTTCCTTTCCTTCCCTTTCCTTCTTTCTTTCTTTCTTTCTCTTTCTTTCTCTCTCTCTCTCTTTCTTTTTCTTTCTTTCTTTCTTTCTCTTTCCTTCCTTCCTTCCTTTCTTTTTCTTTCTCTCTCTCTCTCTCCCTCCCTCCCTCCCTCTCTCTCTCTTTCTCTTTCTCTTATTATTCCTTCATCGGCTCCACTATCATTCACTGGCTCCGCGTCTTCCTCTGATTAAAGATACTCTTCTGGGTTCATTAGATTAAAAACATTAGCAATAGGATGCCTCCTACTCCCTCAATTCAACAAACGCATGTGTATCCAGTTGATTCTAGCTTCTCAGGGAAAAAAGGAGAAATTACAATCCAGTAAAAAAGGTGTTAATATCATTAAATATGACTTAGGTTCATGTCTCAGGTCTGTCATTCACGAGCAATGTGGCATGAGGCATACTACTTAACCAATTTAGGCCTCAGTTTTTCATCTATAAATTGGAGAAAATAATGCCTATCTTTTAGTATTACTTTATGAATTGCAGTACACAAAGTACATATTCCAATGGCAGGTAGGTAGGTACATAGTGGGCATTTAATAAAAGTTTTTCATTATTACTGTTATTTCCATACTCACTTCCACCAAACTTGTATAGTCTGTTTCAACTTCTTTTAATGGGTCATACACATCAACAAAAGATAAATCATCTAGAGTACAGATATAAACAGGTTTCCTTTCTGGCCCAATAAGTCCCAACTGCTTGACTCAAAGCTCAATTCCTCCTGATTTAAAAAGCTTCAGGTTCTAGCTCCAATCTTCCTCTTCAACCTTCTGCCTCACTGTTCTTCTAAGTGAATACCATTCTCCAAACAAATTGGACTTTTTTTGGTTCTCAAACATCCTGTATACTCTTCACCTCAAAGTCCACCTCAGATTCTACCTGCTTTATGAAACTTCTCTCCCCAACTGGATATTTGATCTTCAGAGTATTTTATTGGCACTTCTCTCAGAGGGTACTCATATTCTGCCTGGTATTCAGTAATTTGTGCATAAATAACCTTTCCTGCTTATACACTGTAGCCCCTTTGAAGGGAGAAACTAGGTTCTTATTCATGCTAGTACTTACCACTTAGCTAAGTGATAACATGTGTATATTTAAAAATTATAAACAAGGCTGGATGTCACGGCTCACGCCTGTAATCCCAGCACTTTGGGAGGCCGAGGCAGGCAGATCACCTGGGGTCAGGAGTTCGAGACCAGCCTAGCCAACATGGCGAAATCCCATCTCTTCTAAAATTACAAAAATAAGCCGGGCGTGGTGGCATGCACCTGTAGTCCCAGCTACTGGGGAGACTGAGGCAGGGGAATCGCTTGAACCCGGGAGGTGGAGGTTGCAGTTAGCCAAGATGGCGCCACTGCACTCCAGCCTGGGTGAAAGTGTGAGACTCCATCTCAAGGTAAATAAATAAATACAAATAAGCTAAAATAATAAACAAAAAACCCTGACTCTTTCTCAAGGAATTATTTTCATTTCCTCAACTTCTTATGAAGAGGTAGGAGTAGGGTGGGAAGGGAAGGGTGTATATAGGGTACTTACAGAGGCACTGCAACCTGAATTCCCACTTGGAATTCTCCCAGCTGCCACAAAAAGGCAGGGCTGAAACAGCCATAATAGAAATTGACCAGGTAAGACTTTAAGATCTGTTAATCAATTGCAGTCAACCTCTTGGGAAACCCTTTACCAATCTGCTAAGCTTGTCTATATTTCTTTTCCTCCCAACGGCTATTTTTCCTAACCTTCCAGTCTCCTCCAAACTGAGTAAACAAAAGATTTTAATTTAAACCCACAGTCGAACATATAGTGAAATACACACGCATACTTAATGTTATGTATTAGTTCCTATTCGAGAATTTTATTTCTTTAAAATGTATTTCAACCAAAATCCAGCACCAAATTCTATGGGTAACATCTTAAGGCAGCACCTAGTATAGTGCTTTGTATATAGTACACATTCAGTATGTAACAGTTAAAAGAGTGAATTTACAGTCTACAATTGCAGGACTTAATTTTGGCTAACTGCAGTGGAAAAAATGAGAAAAGATATAGTCCTAGTAAGAATGACACTGGGGGGTTCAGGCCCACAACACCAGCTAGGTAGACCCTTAGGTGCCCAGTGATATACAAAGATTTAAGTATTCCCAGCTGAGCCCCTTGACAATAGAGATACATTATTTTATTTTGTATTACTTAGTACTGTGCCAAATCCAAAAATACTCTCTCGAGTGCAAGAGTATCCAGGAAATAGAAATATTGAAAGCTCCATTATCCAAGCAAATTATGTATAGTTATTTTTTCAACTCCGGATCCTCAGTCACTCCACAGAGTAAGCAAAGTATGCAATTATTAGAATTATTAGTCTCGATTTACATAAGATCACACTGCTGGCACTAAACTCCAGTTCCAGACTCTTTTTTCCACTACTGAATGCCACAGAAACATAAAAAAAGAAAAAAATGGAAAGATCTTTAGAAACAAGGCAGCTGGATTTTTTTTTTAAATGATGAAAACTGAGGCCTACGAAGACAGTCACATTAGCTCAAGGCTCCTATTAAAGCCAAATAATTTCGTGCAAAATCATCTCCCTCTGATTATCATTATCTACACACACACACATACATATAATTTTTCTTTTTGCCTTTCTGAAAATCTGGAGGTCTGAAAAGACTTTTAAGATTTCTCTCAAATTAAAGATACACGTTTGTACGTGTAACCAGAGGGCACGTTTTATACGGTCCACATGTTTTCTTAAAAAAAAAAAAAGGAAATAGAGTGAACGTGAAGTGTGCGTGATAGGCAAATGTCCTCGAACTTTATTGTGTAGTGTAACCCCTATGGCATAAGCCCTTAGAATTTAGCCACATTAATGAACAGATATTTTTATGTGGTAGAAAGAGCACAGACTTTGAGGTTTTTTGTTTTGAGACAAAGTCTTGCTCTGTTGCTCAGGCTGGAGTGCAGTGGCACGACCTCAGCTCACTGCAGCCTCCACCTCCTGGGTTCTAAGCGATTCTCCTGTCTCAGCCACTGGAACAGCTTGGATTACAGGCGCCTGCCACCACGCCTGGCTAATTTTGTATTTTTAGTAGAGACTGGGTTTCACTATGTTGGCAGGCGGCTGGTCTCGAACTCCTGACCTCAGGTGATCCACCCGTTTTGGCCTCCCAAAGTGCTGGGTTTACAGGCGTAAGCCACCGCGCCCAGCTCAACTCTGAGGTTTTATCTACCACTTACTATGCAGTCTTGGCTAGAACACTTAACTTCTTTGAGCCCGAGTTTCCTCATCATTAAACCGAGATAATTCAGGTTTGATGTGCAGATTTGAGAGGAAAGTATGTCTGGCACACTGCTGAAGATCGATAAATATTTGTTGAATGAATAACACAGCCAGCCGATGCTCAACAAAACACATACACACACAAACACACACACACGGTTGGGTAGTTGCCGTCTCCCGGGGAGCTCCAGAAGTGGAAGCTCTCAGCCCTCCCTCTGACTTCAGAAGCCTGGAGCTCAGCTCGCAGCCCAGCGCGTCTCTTCTCAGCTTTGATCAGTGCCCGGGGCAGGGCCTGCAGAGAACTCTCTGGGCCTCGCATCAAGCCCCCAGAACACACTGGACGTAAGAGTCTCGTTACGCCTTCTCCGTCGCCGTTCCCCGCCCTCAGGGCCAGAGTCCGAGGAAGCCCGATAGCGGTTCTCGGCCTCTGAAACACAAGTCCAGCACCGGGGAGCTTGCCCTGCAGTTAGCGTCCAGCGGGGATCAAGCCCTTCGTTTTCCTCATCGTTTCAATCTCTATCTTCTGGTCGGAGTCCAAGCTCAGCAGCACCAGGACATAGCCCTTGGTGGTCTACGCCACACCCTCCTTCCCGGCGGCCTCAGGTCCATTACCAGCGGTCTGGACGGCCACGTTGCCTAGGAAACTGGGGCGGGGCTTGGGAAAGGATGGGTCTGCGCGCCGTTTGCGCAGGCGCTTCGGCCCTGGCCTCTGACTATCGCGAGAATCGGCTCCCGGAAGTTCCACGTCAGTCAGTCTGACGGTCAGAGGCTCGGTGGGTTTCTCTCAGGGCCTGCGTAGCCGGTAACAAACGAGGTGCCAGGGATCGAACCGACACAGTCATGGTAGGTCCAGACCCCGTAGATGGGAGCGGGGTCCCGTAGGTTACGGCAGATTCCCGGAGCTTCTGGACTGAGGGCCGCGGTAAGCAGTGGTCTGGGCTCCCGCTGCGGCAGCCGCCTCCGGCCTTGCGGGGTCTTGGTCCGGTTTGATTCCGGGAAGGGAGAAGGCGGTGGGGCCCAGGGGACTGGGATGGTTTGGGGAGACAACGCCTGCTAGTGAGGGGTTCTGTCTCCTCTGGCGCTTGTGGCGCTTGCCAGAGCTCCTGGAGTCTGCAGCGGGGTCGGTGGTGTAGGGAAACACAGAGGCCGAATATGTTGAACTCCGTAGGAGGGTTTTGGTAAAACTAAAGTTTCCTTTTAAAACGGTGGTAGTTAATCTGCACTCCTGTTGGGCTTATTCTGGGATAGTGAGTGCTGGCTACAAGCTGTAAACAAGCAGAGAAGCCAAAAACAAATGTATATGGAGTCAAAAATGGAATTTCAAATGCTTTGGTATCTCAGCTCTTAGGTATCTAAGGGGAGAAGGGTTGGGAGGAAGGGGTTGCTGTTTATAACGCTGGCTGGTGTGCTTTCATGCATTTGCAAATACAGTTACTGGTAAGAATAGTAATTGTTAGAGCACTCTGTTATTATCACCATAACCCTAAAAAATGCCCTAGAATAGTTTGCACAAGAGTGTTATAATAATAAGGAAAGAAAACAATAGTGTAAGAATACCTTCCGTCTCTATTGAAAATACAAAAAAAAAAAAAAATTATCCGGGCTTGGTGGCACACGCCTATAGTCCCAGCTACTCGGGAGGCTGAGGCAGGAGATTCGCTTGAACCCGGGAGGCGGAGGTTGCAGTGAGCTGAGATCGCACCACTGCCCTCTAGCCTGGGACAGAGCGAGACTCCGCCTCAAAAAAAAAAAAAAAGAAAATATTTTACATTTAAATGTTTTTCTGCCTTTAAGAAAAACTTGTTATGAAGCACAGAATCAAACATTTTGGAGCTTGAAGACGCTAGGGATTAAGTCCCTCATCTTCAGTTTAAAACATTTTTTTAAATTATGTTTCTACAAGGTTAATTGTGGCAAAGCTGGAACTAGAAACAGAGGAAAAATTTAGGAATACTCCCAGAGAAAATGCACAGAGAAACAAATATTTTTGCATAAAATTTAGTGCACTCATTCACAGACCCCGCCCCCCTCATTCCATGGACTTTTTTTTTTTTTAATTTTGTTTTATAAAAAATATGGAACCCTTCATGGATTTGCGTCTCATCCTTGCGCAGGGGCCACGTTAATCTTCTCTCTGTATCCTTCCAATTTTAGTGTATGTGCTGCTGAAGCTAGCACCATCCGTGGACTTTCTTGGGCACCCGGGTTACAGTCCCTGAACTGAACAAACCTCAAGCCTCTTAATTACAGCACTTCATAATACTAACTACCTGCTCTAGTTTGGGTCTGCTGTGGTTGCAGTAATGGACGTTTTTGAAAAAGGCTCTTGGATCTGCCTAATTTCATTTTCTTTTGCCATCTTTACATTTACCAGTGTATTTATATAATGAAATATTGCCTTCATTCTTTAATATATTTTAAATCCTTTGTGGAAAATATAAAATGTGAATTTATTCATTTGTACATTTACCATAGAGTATTTACTATGTGCCATGCACTTTGCTAAACATGGTTGCCTAATTCTCACAGCAGCTGGGAGATAGGGTTATATGTTTGTGAAGTGGTTACTGTAGGTCAGGCACTGCTCTAACTGGTTAACTCTGAATTTAATTCTTACAGCACTAAGAGGTAGATAGTAATAATATTCCTGTTTTACATAAGTCAAACTTGAAAGAGCTTAAGTAAATTTGCCCACTATTGCACATCTGAAATGAGTGGTGGAACTGAAATTTAAATCCATCATGACACTCTAGTTTTACGTTATGGTATCTGTCTTTAAACCCCCATACTCAAATATATAAGGTGGTCTGGAGATAAAGACATGTATAAGCAATGACCCTGGCTTTAAGGAGGATCTACCCTAGAAAGCAAGAAAAGATGTGTACACAAGTGTACCATGAACAGTTAAAATGAAATCCTGTAGGATTCCCTAGGAAAGAATGCTTCAGGCTGGGGTAACTAGAAAGGTCTTACTGGTGGCAGTGGCATTTAAGCTGAGTCCTGAATGCATCCAGCTTTTGGAAGATGGAAGGAAACATTTAGAGTTGAGGATACAGTGTGAGCATCCTAATCATCTTTGTCCCAAAGTACCTAGTACATTGTCTTATTCAAGATAGTCACTTAACTGTTGGGAGAAATATTATCACAAGAACCCTTGCCTGTTCTATATTTTTTCTTTTTTTTCTTTTTTTGAGACAGAATCTCACTCTATCGCCCAGGCTGGAGTGCAGTGGTGCAGTCTTGGCTCACTGCAACCTCCACCTCCCAGGTTCAAGCGATTCTCCAGCCTCAGCCTCCCGATTAGCTGGGAATGCAGGTGGGCCACCACGTCTGGCTAATTTTTTTTTTTTTTTTTGTATTTTTAGTAGAGACAGGGTTTCACCATGTTGGCTAGGCTGGTCTCAAACTCCTGACCTCAGGTGATCTGCCTGCCTCGGCCTCCCAAAGTGCTGGGATTACAGGGATGAGCCACCATGCTTGGCTGCCTCTTCTTTTTTAAACTGAGATTTGTGCTTTGGGAGTATGTAGAGGTTTGCTGGGGTTGCTCAGAGTTCCCTGGCCCAACTGATGGAGCGTCACTTTTACTCAATAATCAATAACTTAAAATATTTTAAAGTAAAATGTTCACAATTTATAAGTGTCCAATTTCCTCATTGCTGGAGAAAAATTGTGAGATATGCTGGCTTATATGAAAACCCTCACCATGGTTCCTGCCTGGTACATAATAGACACTTCATACCTGTTGACTCCATAGAGATTTAAAGGGAAGTTAAAATTTACAATAGTAATTTATGGGGCAGAACTCAGAAATGGATGAAGTAAAAAGCCTTGCTTTTCTGAACTAGCAGGGAATGTGAAGATGGTGATTATTTGAAAGTAGAAAATTGGGGCTGGGAGATCGAGGTGGGTGGATCACAAGGTCAGGAGAGGAGTTGGAGACCAGCCTGGCCAATATGGTGAAACCCCGTCTCTAAAAATACAAAAATTAGCTGGACATGGTGGCAGACACCTGTAGTCTCAGCTACTCTGGAGGCTGAGGCAGGAGAATTGCTTGAACCCAGGAGGCAGAGGTTGCAGTGAGCCAAGATCGCGCCACTGCCCTCCAGCCTGGGTGACAGAGCAAGACTCTGTCTCACAAAAAAAAAAAAAAAAAAGTAGAAAATTGGAGAGAGGAAGGGACTGATGACAGTGAAAACATTTTTGAGGAAATTGAAGAGAAGAGCCAGAGAACTCTGATATTTTAAAGTAAGTGGTAAAAGTTGTTGCTGAAGGTGAAGGAGGTGTGGATAGAACAAGACTTGAAGTAGTCAATGACCCAAATTTGATAACCCCAAAAAGATGAGTAAAAGCGTTGTGAGGTGTTGTCTCAGGAAATTATCTCTGCTAGATCTTCTTTTTATATTCAAAGATAACCTTAAATTTCTGTCCCATTCATGATCATCATAGAAGATCACAGCAATAAAGATTTGACAGTAACTCAACTTGCCAAATGAGCTTTTAGGTTGTGTTTAAGACCTGTTAAAGGGGAAATATATATATATATATATATTTTTTTTTTTTTTTTTTTTTTTTTTTTTTTTTTTTGTATTTTTAGTAGAGACAGGGTTTCACCATGTTGGCTAGGCTGGTCTCGATCTCCTGACGTCGTGATCCGCCTGTCTCGGCCTCCCAAAGTGCTGGGATTACAGGCTTGAGCCATCGCTCCCGGCCTAAAGGGGAAATATATTTTAAATTATCTTTTCTCAGCATGCCACCTAGAGAGAATTAAGCCCACTGCCCTAAAATATCATTGTATATAATGAATTAACTTTTCTCCTAGAATGACATTTTTTGGAGAATGGAGAAAATAGTTGTTCAAATAATTGTCTGTTCTGTAATTCAAAGGAAGAATTTGGCTTGAAAATGCTATTATAAACTATTCATATTTCTGACTTGAGAGAGTGTTTTAATTTTTGTTTTAAATTGTTCCAGTTTTCATTGTTTCTGTAATTTAAATCCATTAAAATATTTGAAACATTCCCATTTGACACCAAAGACCGTCATGCACAGGGATATGACCCTTATTGATCACACATTACATTACCTAGCATTTACAAGTATTTTTGCCAAGATAAATCTACCACTTTTCTCCGAAGAACTCAATATTATGCTTTACGGTTACTGGGAACTCATGAATAACACTTCTTCAGAATATTTCCTGATATGACACTATTGACCTGGGCACAAAATTTTGATTTGTGAATATTTAAAATTCATTGACCGGGTGTGGTGGCTTATGCCTGTAATCCCAGCACTTTGGGAGGGCAAGGCAGGCGGACCATGAGGTCAGGAGATTGAGACCATCCTGGCTAACACAGTGAAACCCCATCTCTACTAAAAATACAAAAAATTATGCACCTGTAGTCCCAGCTATTCGGGAGGCTGAGGCAGAAGAGTCGCTTGAACCCAGGAGGCAGAGGTTTCAGTGAGCTGAGATCGGCGCCACTGCACTCCAGCATGGGCAACAGAGCGAGACTCAAAAAAAAAAAAAAGATAATTCTGTGAACTAGAGGTTCTCAAAGTGTGGTCTTTGAT